CGAAGTTTACAATGGAAAGTCTTGAATCTTCAGGACCATCTCAGTTGAGGACAAAGTAAAGCAGTTCTTCACCCATCAGCCTATGGTCTCACTTCACAGGTATGGAGATTTGGACAGAAACAGCCTAATCTGCCAGAGCTAGGAAAGAATCAGTCTCTGTATTCAGACCCAGGCTTGAACACATCCCAAACCAGTGCTGTCTGTGTTCCTAAACTCAGCTCGGTCAGTATTGGTTCTCGTACTGTGTTACAAGAACATTTTGAACTGTACAAAAAATTCAGACGTCAGATCACATTTTTCTAACCTTTAATTGTAATTTCAGGAATGCATGTGTGAGGGGGTGTTTGTATGTGTTGGAGAGTGAGAAATAGTGATAATAAGAACAAAAGTCTAAAGTCTGGCCTTTATTTAAATGAACATGCAATGTTCTGTGGATGCAGAAACCATTCATGAGTTACTTACTTACTCAGCACGTATACAAGGAGAGGGACTGTGTATTAGAGACTTGATGAGATACAATACCGATGAATGCACTCATTGTGTCTGTAACAGGAGTATGAAGAATCAGCTGTAAAATAGTGCTAGAACTTTGATATTACTGGCAAGTTGCAAACCCATGCCAAGTTGCAAACATTGCCCAGCTGCTCTCTTGGGAAATGCTTGAATTGCATGAAGCAACCTGGGCCTTCCTTCATGCTTTCTCGCTCCCCCCCATTTCTCCCTTCCGTCTTGCCCCTCCTTCTTTTTCTCCATTTGTATTACCTGCTATTTTGGACTAAAGGGTTCATTCCCCTTTCCTTTGTTATTTAGAGGAAATGTCAGCTCTTCAGGAACAACTGAAGAGTTGTCACCGGCTACTTGGGCTGGATAGTTTTATGTCAACTTGACATAAGCTAAAGTCCCCTGAGAGGAGGAAACTCGATTGGGAAAATGCCTCCATAAGATCAGACAGTGGGCAAGCCTGTAGGACATTTCTTAATTAGTCATTAATAGATAATGGCCCAGCGTTTTATGAGTGGTGCCATCCCTGGGCTGGTGGTCCTGGGTTCTTACAAGAAAGTGGGCTGAGCAAGCCATGTGGAGTGTAAACCAGTAGTAAGTAGCACTTCTCGATGGCCTCTGCATCAGCTCCTGCCTCCAGGTTCCTGTCCTGTTTGAGTTTCTGTCCTGGCTTCCTCCAGTCAACTGGAATGTGGGAATGGAAGCCAAATAAACACTTTCTTCCCCAATTGACTTTTTGGTCATGGTAATTCACTGCAGCAATAGAAACCTTAACTAAGACTCTACCTCAAGCCACTGTTTTGATTATGAATGTATGTATTCACTACCCAATACTTATATTCTATACTCCTTGCTTTTTGGTCTTGCTTTTCTAAACTGTAAATATCAGAAAGAAGGGGTAATCTATTTAATTTATTCCTGTTTTGTCTTCAGCTGTATTCCTGGAATTTAAAACAATGCTAGGAACACAGAAGCAAACTAAACATTCACTAAGTGAGAAAAATGAATTGATTAGCAACTGTTATTGATTGTTGAAGGGTAGCTAACTCTACATGAGGCAGTCTTCAGAGCATGACTTGAAGGGACATTTTCATCCAGCCTTGTATTTTTCCTAGTTATAATAACAGTACATCCCCACTTTAAAAAATGTTGATAGTTATGAAAAATGTAAACAGCATTAACACTAATCATTTTTAGATTTGTAATATTTATGCTATACATTTTCTCTTAGATCATCTTCTTTGAGTGATATTCATAGGTGGTGTTTTAGGACAAGGTCTTGTTTTAACACCACCTGGCCTTGAATTTGTAATCCTTCTGCTTCAGCTTCAGCTGGAATGATATGTGTTATAATTATATCAACTGGCAATTATATATTGCCATACCAGGCTCTCAGATATCTTAAAACCAAACAGTAACAAATTCCTTTTATAAATGGTTCTATATTTCAGAGGTGTGCACTTTACCTTATTTTTCCTTTCTCAATTTAAGGATTGCTTTGTTTTTCTTCCAAATTTATACATTATGATTTTCTAGTTAAATCCATATTATTGGAACTCATTATAAAATCCATCGATTTCAAGAGCTCCAAAGTAGATGATCCTGGGGGCTACTCATTCGGAAACTTTAAGCACGGTACAAACAGGAAGATTTTGGTATAAATTATCTATCTTCTTTTAACAGTATTTGTGCATGTGTGTATGTGTGTTTGTGTATGTGTGTGGTATGTGTTTATAGGTGTGAGCATGTGTGTGTGTGTGTAGGTATGAGTATGTAGGGGTGAGTGAATATGTGTGAATGTTTGTGTGTGTGTGTATCTCTGTAAGTGTGTGTTTGTGTATGTGTGTGGTGTGTGAGTGTGTGTGTTTGGTTTGTGTGTGTGTGTGTGTGTGTGTGTGTGTGTGTGTGTGTGTGTGTAGGCCAGAAGTCAATGTTGGGTGTCTTCCTCTTTTCCTTTCTACCTTATGTTTTTGAGACAGGGTCTTTCATGAAATCAGGATCTTGGTGTTTTAGCTGTGTCCGTCGGGCCAGCGAATCCCAGGGATCATTCTGTCTCCACCCTTCTCCACCAGTGCTGTGAACACAGGTGTGCACTGCCACACCCAGCTTTTCATGAGTGCTGGGGAGTCAACCTCAGATCCCTAAGCCTGTGAAGCAGGCATTTGGTCACTCTGAGACTTCTTCATGGCCTTTTCTTTTTACTTTCTGTTTTTCTAATTTTTTTTTTATTTTCATGAAAAACCAGAGGACATGAAGAATACTAACTTCATGTTATTAAGCAAATTAAATGATGTAATGGAAGTAAAGTGCTTAGACCAATGTAAGTGTGCAATAAACGTTTGATGGCCTTGATAATCTCCTGTGAACCAACTCCTAGAAGTCCAATGTGCTTTTCAGTTTATCTTGAAGGCAAACATAAATTAGCTGTAAAGATGGGTGTTAAGGAGGCTATAGTCGGAGGAAATGAAGTTAGAAAAAAAATTCACTTTTTTAAATCATGGAAGAACTGTGCACCATCCTGAATCTTTAAACTATAAAAACTCATAGTAACTGTGGCTCAGCTCTTACATCACCCAGATGGAAGCTCTCGTTATGTTCCTACTTTGTATCATCACTGGAAATACAGATGCCTCTCAGTATCCCTGAGAGTCTGCGTCTAGGGTCTCCTATGGAAACCATAATTCACAGATGCCCAAGGCCCTAATAAAGAACAGTAATATTTGCAAAGAACACACACACACACCCTCCTCTATATCTTAGCATCCTTGGATTATTCATAGTAGTCAATATAACACTTATGCTATGCAAATAGTTGTTACCTAGGCAACCAATCTAGGCAAGATTGATTGTGGCAAGTGCAAACTTATCAAGAGCATACTAATGATTTCACCTGGGAAATGGGAATGGAGGCTGGAATTCTTTTAACTTGACAAGGGAGTATAGAGAAATGAATATTGAACCCCAGACAGCAAATTCAGGTATCAGTTTGCAAGGATGTGTGTGGGGAGCTTCTGGAAAATGACTGGGCTTGAAGATAATGGTTTGAGAAATGGCCCAGAAAATATTTGAGACCTTGGTAATGGAGATCACCGAACACAGTAAAAGCTGTCTTTCATTTCCTTCTGATAGAGTTATGAGTTCATCACAAAATATCCATTTTGCTTTCAACAGATGCTACTGATTGATGTCCTATTTAATTCATGAATTTTTATTTTCAGTAAACAACATTAAACTTGTAACACGAAATTAATACCAGAGTCACGCACTGATAACATCATATTTTTAAAAGTTGGGTCTGACAAATTGAGAAGTTAAAAAGAACATCTTACAAAATGTATAATTTATATTTTTATAAATACTTTAAGGACAAAAGTGGATCACGTGTGATGATGTTAGAGGGACATACAAATCACACTTTGCAGCACATTTTGTGAACTTTATCTATTAGACACACATAGGTACATGTGTATATCTTGCGTGTTCATAGCTATGACCAAAGGATGTATTTTAAACATGTCTTCAATAACTTTAAACTCTCATAAAGTTGGTGGATTCTAACCTTCCTTCTCTAAATTGCACTAAAAGCACATTTGAAAATCATCAGAAATTGTAATTAGGTGGCATGGGGCTCAGTGTACTGTTCAAGTCTGAGAGCATCCCTGCTGAATTATGGAGTGAGCCTCAGCAGCCATCAGATACAAATGATGGGCTGAGAGGCCCCGTCATCTCTGCATTGGGAGTTTTTGGTTCAGCTTCTTTCGGTTGGAAAGGAGTCAGTTTGTCTACAAAGGAGAAAGTTCATGACACCAGTCCCACTTAATTAACAGACATTCCACGCTGTAGACACAGCACACTTCCTACATCTAAGTAGAAAATTAGTCTCTGAACTTGGTGTCCAAGAGCTGAATGTTTCCTTTGATCGTAGACTTGGGGGTGCAGAGTTGACCATTTCCTAGGAGCTCAGTAGAGACCCCTCAAGTCAACCTCAGTATTTGGCAGTCTATATGTACATGTTCAATGTGATCTTAGATTTCACTGTGTCGTTCATTTCTGTGACATTTATTGGCATCGGACAGGTGCACAGAAAGTGAGTGGAATGTGACACATTCTACAGATTAAACCATCTATCTGACTTCAAATTTACACTTGCGATAACCAGCCCAGGAAAGCAAGTCACCCTTACGTTACATCCTGAGCTTACCTCCATTCCAAGTTTACATTTGGAACACTTTTCATTTAAAAATAGACACATACAAGTGATCGCATAGGATCACAGAAACATACATGGACACTTCTTCTTTATGTTTCTTATATTCAGGTGATGCTGGGCCATACACAGCAGTGACAGTTTGCCTACATCCGTGTGCTCGTTGGACGTGTTACATTTCTCCTCTGCTGCTCTTCGGCTCCAGCTCCTGGAGGAAGGCCTCATTGTTCTGAGGGCAGTTGGAGTGACAGGTGCAGGTTCCAATGACCATGACTGGTTTCTTGATGGTTTGCCCCGGGGAGCACTGAAACTCCACCTGGATGGTTTTGGTGTTGTGAGGGGTACAACACCGGCCATCGCTGCAGACTCCAAAGAACCTGGGCTTATAGGTATGCAGGCTAGTGCAATTCTTGAACTGCAGGTGGATGGCCTTCAGGGACTTCTTGGTGCGAAGACACTTTTTACCTTTCTGAGAAAGAAAAGGAGAAAGGTGCTGAGTGGAAATCCTGCGCTTCTTCTAAGAGACCCCTTCAAAGGTTGCCCCACCCTCCCGATGTCCTCTGCTCCTTCCTCTTTTTTAAACAAATCATTAACATTATTTGGACAATCTTGTCAGCTAAAATCAGTTGCTTCCCCAGAGTATCTAGGAACATTTAGCCAATACTAACACCAATCCAATAATTCTAGACAGTTTTCTGCCTTTTCAACAACTCTTATTTGTATTTTACATTCATTTTCTTTTCTAGGCAGAATTTGAACTGAACACTAAATATGCAGAATCCCTCTTTGTCTTTGAGGCTACAAACATGAAAAAGAAAGAACCTCTCTCATTTAAAGTCTGTATTTTATTTAGCTAAATGCATGCTTTGATGTTATTGAGAAAGGGATTAAATGTGGCATTATTAAAGTCTATTAATGTTTCAAAGACTTTTCAGGCATTAATTCATTTAACTTCAACAATATTCATTCACATAAGAAATAGCTGTTAATACAAGTCCCAACTGACCCAATTTTATTTGAAAAGAAGAGTCTCAAAGGACTGGTGATCAGAAGATAAATGCCAAGTTTTGGAATTTGTCTGATGCAAAACCAATTCCTGCTAAGACAGTATGACCTTGGAAATTCTAGGACAGTGAAATTTAAGATTCTTTCTATGAAGCTGTATTGCATGGAGAATTTATTCAATATCCTACCAGTTCAGATAATAAAGAAATGACCCAATTACACTAAACAATCAAACAAATGGCTTTCATTTCCTACTCCACTTTCAATTCGTCACAGTTCTCCACTGCACACTTTCCCGGCAGAGGCTACTGGTATGTGGGGTGATGATTAGGAATTCCTTTGTGTCAGTGGTTCTCAAACTCTTGCGCACATTGGCATCACCTTGGGGTTTGTTAGAACACAATTGTTGGTCCTACAGCCAGGATTATCACATGTGATCGAGGCCCATGAATCTGCCGACGCTACTGCTTACCTGGCGGGGGTGGGGGTGGGGCTACACAAGAAGAACCCTAGTCGTAGACTTAAGAAATCTCAGAAACAAGAATCTAGTTCTATGTTCCAAACACATTTCCAGAACCTGTATAAAATACGTACACGTGTGTGTGTACAACTTAAGTATAGTATTTCCCAATCTAACAGCAGGTGTTATGTTAAAAGAAACATCACCTGTGCAAAGGAACAATACAACAGACCAAATTCTAGAAGCATTATATAAAAACGTCTTCTTAGACGGACGTTGGTGGCACACGCCTTTAATTCCAGCACTAGGGAGGCAAAGACAGGTGGATCTCTGTGAGTTCAAGGCCAGCCTGGTCTCCAGCGTGAGTGCCAGGATAGGTGCCAAAGCTACACAGAGAAACCCTGTCTCGAAAAATAAAACAAACAAAAAAGTCTTTTTTAATAAAGAAGTAGCCATGTTCATGAAAAATTTGAAGGTCCTGTCTCTCCTTTTTTTGTAGTTAATGTTTAGGATATATTCTTTCCAATGTCATTAAAAGCTGGAGGTAGCTGTGAACCGTGTGCATACAGCTAAATGTGTGACTGCTTCTAGGGGGGTGAACTTCATTGTGAAAGTGCAGGTATGTTTCCTAAAGTGTCAGAAGGTGCATTTCTAGGGCATACCTTTGGAGAAAAGGTGTTTCCAAGTGTTCTTTCACAATTTGCAGAAGGAACATAAGATTGAGGTAGGTCTCTAAATTCCTATAGCTGAAATGCCACATAACCAACGAGATCACAATGGACTCTTGTTTTAGCCGTAGGGAAAAAATTTAAGTGTTTGATGGCTAACATTAAAAATATATTAAGTCTATGTCCCACATTTTGCAAATTGATTTTATTTAATCCTTATGAAGACCTCAAGATAGGTGTTTTTCTTTTCTCTTTTTCATTCTTCTCTTTCTTTTGAGGTAGGGTCTTCCTATATAGCCCTGAATTTCCTGGAAGTCTCTATGTGACCAGGCTGGCCTCATACTCAGAGTTCTGCTGCCTCTGCCTCCCAGGTGATATGGAATCAAAGTGTGTGCAACTACACCAGGCAAGAGATATTTTCAATGCCCCCACTCTATGGAGAAAGAATTGCAAGTAAATTGTCCAGTGCCACACAGCTAGATAGGTCATGTTGAAGGGATTTAAAGCCAGACTGAACAAGCCTAGTGTTGTCCCCTTAAACATTATATGATGCTGCTTCAGAGTAGAGATACACCAAGTTTCTAGGGCCTGTTCTATTTTGGCCTCAGGCTGATGTGTGGATCTATGTAATGGTTAAGTCTGATATTACATTTGTCCCGTCCAGTTCTGCAACAAGACATGTTATGTCATCAGGAGCCAATTAGGGCTCTTGGTCTTCACACCTTGCACCCAGAATCAACATACTGTGTTGACATAATTCCACCCCCCTCAAAAAAATAAAAGAAGTATGCTGTTTCATTTGGCTCAGGTTGCCTTACTGTGGCAAGTGTACTATTTCTACCAGGCTTTTAAAAATATTGTTGATAATTCCCAGACACCCATTCAGCTATGTACTGACAGCTGTTTATTGTGTACACAATATGTTCCAGGGCTCACAGTAGGATCTGGTGACTTGAGAGTGAATAAAGCAGACACAGCCTCTACCCTGCTCCTTCCTATAGTTGAAGGACCTGATTTATTTAATGGCCCCTGATTTATTTAAAAATCTAACCTTGCTAAAATCAGCTCTACTTGACAGCTGGAGAGCTATTTTTTTTTCCTCCAGGGATGGGATGGGATTTACTCAAGCATCCTCATTTGGATAAAGTATTAGAGCTGTGTGCCTTTTCCCACTTGTTTGTAGAAGTGCTGTGCGTTGCTTGAGGGCATTTATGCAGATTTAAAAAGAAACATAGAAAGTACGGTTTTTGATTCAGGATGGTCCATGCCCTTTGATTAGGTTAAGAGTCAGCTGGAGAAGATTTGTCACTAGTGTGACAGTGACATACTGAAGTCTAGGCTTCAAGGAGACCTCTGCTGTAAAAAGAGATAGGCCTCCTCTAGACTCCTACCTTGTCTGTTGGTGGTGTGGGCTCTTGTTCACATGGCCGAACCATA